CAGTATTTCCTGAATAAAGAGTCATTTCGTTCTTCGTTGGTGATTCGAGCCTGAAGACGCGACTCGCGAAAAAAGAATCGGAATTCTCACCGCTTCTGCAGGCGCGCGCTGCCGTCGTCACGCTCAGTTCGCGCGAGACGGCCGAGAAGACGAGCGAGAGAAATCCAAGAAAAACAAAAACAAAACATTAAAACAAAAACAAGACGACARTTACCTCCCGAATAAAGCACCGCCACGGCCCCGCAGGCGCGCCCGGCGTTCTCCCGACCGCCTCGAAGGATGACACGGAAGCGAAAAGGTGAGCAACGCACCGCCGGTCACGCGCGTTTGACCGTTAATTTATCCAGAGAAGAAGAGGAGATCACGGGGAGACATCCCTCCCTTCCTGAAAACATTAACGTGTCGTTTATAAGTTAAAAAAAACGGCGGAGCGGAGGAAACCCGGTTCTGACGCTGAACGTGGACYGGGTCGGGGTAACCTTGACGTTTAACTCAGCTGGTTCGGTTGTGTTCGGGTCAAAAACATTCATGGGCGGAGGAATGAGGAAGTAGCTGGTTGTGAACGCAGACCCCCCTCTTATCCCCMCCTCCACATTAAAACAAAACAAAAAAAAATCACCTACTTTTATTTTGAAAAAACAAAYAAAACACAGCAACTGGTCACGTGATGTGAATTTTTACAGTTTGACAGCTGGACACGTGACAATTTAGCAAAAAACACACCAACCTGTAGAAACTACATGATTTATTTATGCAGCAAAAGGATTTGCACAACTAAGAAAAGTTTGACAGCTTAAAAATATCAATATTATTGCATCAAACCACTTTTTTAATGCTTGTCAAAAGTTTAGATGTTTACCCTTAAATGTTCAAAAAATAAATAGGGAACAAAATATTTTCATGAGTTTCCAAGAATGAGAAAAACTTGTTTTTTTTTTTAATTGAACGCTGCTCAGATTATGATTTTTAACTCATGACAACACAGAGTTGCCAATGAATCGTTATAATTTGCCATTAAATTACTTGAGGTTATAAATAAGACACGCGTGATCTTTGTCACATGGTGCTGAGCTCGCCTGTTAAACAACAGACTCCATTATTAAAGGTTTGTTTATGATTTAAACACATCTTGTTTCAAATATAATAATTTTGCTCYGCTCAGCATTAGAGGTTTTGTCAAAACCTGTGAAACGGTTCCTCAAAAGAAACCAGAATCTATTTTTTTCCAAACTTTAGGCCTAAAAATTCTCAAATCGCTTACAGCCGTTAACGTTTAAAACAATGTTTTAAATTTATTTTTCCAGGCTATGAGTTCCTGTGAGCATGGAGAGATCTCAGAAGAAGCGATGCTTGAAAAAGGTGAGTCCTGCCGTCTCACCTGTGCCCCGCCCCCTCGCCGCTGTCATAGTTTAATGTCACATTATCTGCAGAACACATGCAGGCCTGGGACGTTAAGGAGGAGGAGGAGGAGGGAGATCTTGCTATTTGTGAGTYGTCTCGAAGACATGAAGGAGGATCTCCTGGGGTCACAGAGGTCAATAAAAGGTCTGCAGAGACCGGCTCGGATCCACGTCAGTCGGCCAGGAGCAAGAGAGCTCGAGTTTGTAGTGAGGTAAAAATAAATTTAATTATTCTTAATCTACGCATCATAAATTTAATCCACGCATCATTTACTTTCAAACTTTTCTTTAACATTTTTTTTAAATGAGCTTGATCCAACGGGTCCACAGGATTTATGACTAAATTCAGAAAAAGGCTTGAAAATAACTTATTTATAAACATTCAGTCACAAAAAACCACCTAAATACAATTAACAAG